TGTTTTAAGTATCTCATATTATTACAGAGTCATTTTCCTCTGAATGTCTCATTCATGAATCTCCCTCTCCGGACATGCATTGACGTAACCACCTTAGCAGATGTTGCGAAATTTTCAGAATGTGCCAAACTCTGGAAACCATGCGCATAACCATTATTCCGGCAACCATGCTCAAAACAATCCTACTACGTCAAACCAAGTGCGCATAAACAGCAATAACATGTGTATGTGTACACACAAGCATATATATCCATACACACACGGGAATACATACACACATTTCTGAATCCGGTCCCGATAACAGAAGAGTACCTTTAGATATATTAAGGAAACCTTAACCTAACCTTAATCATATCTAAAATCTTCAATCTAACCTTAATCATATCTAAAAATGAAATGTTTTCCAATTTTTAATGCAAAAAAAAAAGACAATAAAGTTCATTAAGTGAAACAAATGAGGTATACAAATTTAAACATTTTTAGTTTAGACTTCATTATGTTTAACATTTCGACTCAGAGACGGGACAAGGGTGAGGCGCTTGCCTCAGGTGAATCACTAGAAGGGGCGCCAAACTGGCTATACGAATTCGAAAATTACTTTAATTATGTTTTTAAATTTTGTCAGTTATTATTAGGGGAAATAAGCTTCGGAAAACTTAAATCAATAAAAAAATAGGCAGAATGGCTTGAAAATTATAAATTATTGGCTATAGTATTTTTCTGAATTTATAAAACTAAGATTAAAAATACTTTATGAATTATGGTATATTTAATACATTTACTTTTGTTTAATACAAGTATAGCTATTTTGTTATATATAGGGGCACGCATGATATCAGATGCAGCATCGGTTTTTATGTTTGAATTTTTTGTAGCGTAATACAGAAAAACTTGCTTTGCACATATCCGCTGTTGCGAAAGGAAGTAAATATTTTGTTTTGTCCGACAAATTTATCCAAAATTCGTTTAAACTCTGCATCCATTTCTTTTAGCAACACAAGCCATCTGGCATCGTGCTACATTACTAAATTTATTAAATTCAGTTAAACCAATTTGCTTTATATTTTTTCTCTAAATTTGTTTTAAGAGTTTGTTTTAAAAATTGAGCTACATACACAAAAATAGACGATGCTTCGCTGTTCTTTAACCTCAGCATCCTAATTATTTGCGGAACACTTAATGACTGTTTACGGAATATCAGTGTTCCGCAAACCACAGTTTGGTTAGAGCTGTACAAGAATATGCAACCAACTCATTACTTTAATGGATGTAATTTATACCGACATTCCTATCGTAAGCAGCAAAATAGTTTTTGTTATGTAAGTTATAGACGACCGTATTTGTGAGCACAGAATATACCATTCCACTATTCTTAAACTGAAATAACTTACAGAGATTGTACGTTCATATTCAAGAAAGGCTCAATAACTCCAAACTGCAAACAAGTAATATGGCGGTTTTCTCCTTGCTCTGAAAGTAATTGACTTAAACGTTATTCATGCTTTGAAATAAGAATCCCTTTGTTTTACTGAAGCTTTGCTGTCTCATTTGTGTGCCCAGAGGACATTGCACTTTATTCTCATCTGTGATTTAGGCATTGTTCTGGTCATGAGTCATAGCTTTATATTTTGATAAAATTGTTTTAAATTGCATTGCCATGCTCAGGATACTTATCCCGTATATTATTTAATGCACATGATAAGTATCTCAAAAGAGCTCCAGTTTCGTTTGTTTGTTTGGTCGATTTAGCAAAGCACAAGCTATCTTCTTGACAGAAGAATGAAATTTCTTCAAAAGATCTTCAAGTGCTATATGTATATTTACATACATTTAAGATGTTGGTTGATTGAATAATTAAAGTAAAGCATACGAGACTTACAGAAAAAAAAAAAAAAAAAAAAAAAAAGAAAAAAAAAAAAAAAGAAGCCTTCATGAAAGACTTTTGAAGTGAAAGTGGTTCGAATTCACCTTACACGTGAGTAAAATTCCAATGCAACCAGCCCGTCTGCTGGGAAACGCCCCTTCCCCCCCCGTATTTAATACAAAAAAGATTTAAAGGCGAAACCGACTTTTTAAAGATGATTGAAAAAGTCTTAAATACGCAAAAATTATTTCAAATTTAATTTCTTGCCTTAATGAACAGAGACAAATGATAATTAAAAAGTGTTATATAATGTAATAATAAATTCATAAAAAATAATTATTTAATTTATTGTGTCTTATAAATTATTACAGAAGATTGGATTACCCCGATTTAATGAAAAAGTGCACCAGAGCAAATTTCGCCACGATATATACTGCTAGGTTTGGTTACGGCAAAGCAATCGAGGTTTATCTCCGTAAGGGGAAGGGATGTCTCCGTGGTGGACTTTGTAAGGGAACCTGGCTGTTATATATGCTACACATGCGTACCCACGAATACACCCATGCAGTCAGCCCGTTCGCCGAGATTCGAACCCCGAACCGAAATACCAGTTTTCAGCGATTTTATGGCTTGTATGGTATGCCTAGTTGGTAGGACGGAAAAACCTCACAGTATGTATAAGAAAATGGTTTGGTGCATTTGATTAGGGCAAAGCACTCTAGGGCTGCAAGGAATGTAAAAGGCTATTCGTACAGTAATTGTTGTGATCTAAAAATACCTCGTTGCTAAAATTAGAATCTTAAATTCCGCAATAAGTAATTAAATATGTATAATGAAATATACTTTAATATTTATGTGTGAAATTACGTGAAAATAAATGCATGCACAAATAAGATATTTACAAAACAAAAACAATGTTGTGGTGTAAAAGTATTCGCATATTATAAATAATGTAGAAAATTTTTATTAATATATTTAAATTAATACCTTGCAGGATATTCTTTAGTGTAAATAATAAAATCCTCAAGTCCCCTTGGCATTGATTCAATCAAATCTGCTGTTACTGAGCTAGATATGAACTTCTATTCTCGTTAAGAGCAGTTATTAAGACATTTTTATTGAAAATGTGCCTGGATCAACCATTTTTATAAAGAGTCTACCTTATATTCTCAATGGGATGGAGTCGGGTGACTGAGGAGGAAAATTCATAAACTTTAGGGTGTTATATAAGCATCCAGAGCTGTGTATTTAGGGTTGCATACTTAAGATAATTATCATTTATGAAGACATATTCACTATCCTAGACCGTAAATTGTTTTGCAAAGTATCAGCGTATAGCAGATGGTTAACATGTTATTAATGATAACTAAATTACCTGTCCCGGAAGGACTCGTACAGTCCCAAACCAGCACGCTTCTACCTTCATGTTTCACTGTTGGTAGTAAATGCCTAGGATGCATATCTGTATTTCATTTCCTCCCCACCATTCGCTCCCCGTTCGATCCAAAAATATTAAATTTACTTTCATCTGCATAAATAATGTTCTTTCAAAACTCTGGGCTTTCATTCACTTCTTTTGTTTGGCAAAGGCTAATTGTAACTTCCGATTGCTCTCACTCAGAATTTTCTCTCTCGCCTCGCATCACGGATATGGAAACCTTGTTTCTGCATGATTCTAAATTGTGCTTACGGCTATTGCCCTTCCCATGTTTCTCAATTCTGCTGCATTGCTTAGAAGCACTTACTTTCAGATCTTTCTTCAACGAACGGGCCGGAAATCATCTGCCAACGGATGTAAGTAGATACGGTCTTCCTGAACGAGCACTTTTTTGCACTATTCTAGAGGTAATAAACTTTTGAATAATCGATTGCGCAGCTGAAGGTAGTCTACCTTTCATTCAGTTGAACGTAGTCGCCTCTATGAAGCTTTAAGTTTAATTCTGTTTCGAAAACACTCGTTTCTTCACCTTTACGACCCATATTAAAATTTCACTTTTCTTATATCACATTTAAAGTTATACCTGGTCATTTTATATAACCCGCAAGCTAAATGATGTCAGTTGACGAAAAACTGAAAAAACCAATTAGAAAAATGCTATCACAGTTTTGCATTTGTTTGAATGCATGAATACTTTTTACGCGCCAGTAAGTCCCCAATTTTTTACTTTCCCGTATATTTAAAACCTAATTCAATATATTTTCGATATTGGTTTTTGCACTCGCATTTGGTAAACGTTTTTATTAGTTATTGCCTTTTGAAGAAGTTTCGGTAGAATTAGCACGCCAAAACAATAGTTTCTTTTGAGAAACCTCTGTCGTACTAATAATTTTTATATTCACTTGTACCTAAGGGATGCCTAAGCGGAAGACTTTCTAAGCGAAACTGGCTCGTATCTATGTTATTTTTTTTTATTATTTATTTATTTTTTTTTATTTATTTATTTTTATTTTATTTTATTTTTACTTATTACGTGCTCCTTCCTTAGGCAATACACGGAGAGGGAGGGATGCCCCGTGGAAGTCTTTTTAAGGGAAACTGGCTCCTATCCACGTTACACATGCGGAAAGCCACGAAAACGCCCATGCAGCCAGCCCGTTCGCCGGGATTCGAACCCCGAACCGAACTACCAGTGTTCAGCGGCTTTTACCTTTCGGCCGCTGGTGGGCCTTCGTATCTATGTTAGACATGGGGAAAAACACGAAAACGCTTATGAAACTTGCCCCTTCACCTAGAATAGAGTCCAGTGGTAGTTCGATCTGAGTTCGGTTGTAGCACAGTTTACTTTATACTGGGGGCCTTATTCAAGACAAATGGCATCTCCGAATAAGCTTGAAATGGACTGTTACATATTGCAGAAATATTTTACTGGACAGAACGCATCGTTTATCCGTAAGTATTTGAACAAATGAACGTAATTTTCTTGCTCTCGTTTCCGCATCTTCGCAATTACAGCTTTTTTAAGAAACTTACAGTATACGAAATTTAAAACGAAATTTGCCGATCGAAGTTTGCGAATCATTGCTTTTAGACATCACTCAAACTAACCGAATGGGAAATAATAATAACAATTATAATAACAGTAAATAAAGAGTAGTAATATTAAAAATAAAGAATAATAAAATGGGTAACGCTTACCTCAAGGAAAGACTTGATTCCTTCTAAATCTCCTATTTGCACTAACCACAAAAATTCTCTTTCTTCATCACTCATGTAATCCTCCACATGACTGGCCCTCTGTTTAACGAGACCAACAGGACAATCACAATTCTGCCGAGAAATGTCGTTAGTTACATGCATGGCAACAGAACATAATAGAACATGCTTACACTCAGTTTGAAACTAACTCTGTCACACAATCATTTGAAGCATAAACAAACAGAAGAAGAAATAGTGATGCATAAGGCAATATACGGGACTACATGGTAACCTGCTGCAAGCATGTCCTTGGTCAGACAATAGACAACCACTCTTGATTACTCATGCGGTTCTCAATGTACATTGCGATGAGAAATATCTACTTACGGGGTCAAAAAGCGCAGGAAAATTACCATGCACGATGTTAGTGAACCGCTTAATACTTTTATCTCCTCCCCCTCTCATGCGATGAATGAAGCTGCGAAGTCATTCACACTTAGGAGTAGAAATCGAATTCTTCTTTTCATGCATTGCTGAAATGCAGTTGCATTGGTAAGCCTTCTAGCAGGATATGATGTTTCACTAGATGAAATATAAAATGTTAAATCGCCAATTCCGTGAAATGTGGCACATGCCACTTAAATGGCTGTTAAGTTCAAAACTGATTGCTTATGAAATCAATGTTAGACTTCTGTTAATGATCTTTATTAAAATAAAGTAGTAAAGTAGAACATGTACAGCAGAATACTTTTTATTCAGGTTAAGGGAGGCGAGAGCTATTTTGGATAACGCATTTTTTGGGTAAGCCAAGGGTACTATTTTCAGCAGTTACAGGTAGAAATAAAACGCGCCGCCCAACCGGTGGTTAGCGTCGCTGACTGCCGTGCCGAAGGGCATGGGTTCGGAGAAGACACTGATGTTTGTAAATGTACAGTGTACGTTTAGCATGAGGGCACTAAACATACGGCGAGCCGGAAGGCCTCTCGAGAGGTTAGTGGTAGGGCAGAGGGTGGGAGACCCTCAGACCCGTTCCCCCCCCGGGGTGCTGTCCACCAAAATTGGAGGCGGAATGAGCAAAATCGCACTGTTACCTGTAAGGTGCTCAAGGCTGTTGCCAACGACAGACGTAATCTTGCGCTCCTTGTCACGAGGAATTTCGTGGGCTTATGCTGACTATACGTCAGACAAGTCAGCATCAGTCAACAACAAGAAATAAAAAGTATAGCATTGTTAAGCAAAGGTATGTGTGACAATCCACGTAAATGTCAATGTCATTTAAAACAATATTAGTAGATTATGGCAAAGCACTCGAGGGTTATTGTGTAAGAGAGTGATACCTTCGTGGAGGACTTTTACGCGAAATTGGCTCGCATTGACGTTATACATGGGTGGCATCACAAAAACTCTTTGCAGCCGACCCGTTCGCTGGAATCAGAGCCCCGAAAGACAAGTGTTGTGTGGTTTCGCCATGCGACCGCTGGTGGACAGCATTATTATGAGTGTAATGCTATCATTTCCCTATGACTAATGATCGTTTTCTACAGCACTCGAGTGAACAGTTGGTGAATTTATAAAAAATTGAACATAGGACTTAAGTAAAGTTATATCTTCAATTGATGTGTAAGTAAAAGCTTGCTCCGAAATAGAATATAGTTATGTTCAGATTCTGTGAATACTGAAGAATTTACCGATACTCAATTAGTATTTATTCCTAGGACGATTAACACTTTCCTTTTAAGATACAATTTACAATTTCCTTTTAAGATTAAATATGCTCAGCATTTTCACTGAAAATGATCAAGATACCAAATAAAAGAAAATTCCGGAAATCCCTCAGCAACATACGTTTCAAATTTCCCGTGTGCACTGCGTTGCATTGAATTTTGCTATTTTGTTTCGCACAAAGTTCTTTTCCTCCGCACGCAATCGATTGCAAGACAGCAATATATAAACACTTGTAGGGTTTATATTTATTTTAACTAACATTTATTTTAAGTTTAAGCTATCTTTCCTGTCAAGCCTTTACTTTCCCCTGGAATTGCCAATGCCAGATTATGTAAATTTCAGTAGAACGCGCAGAAGTATTCAAATTTTCAGCGGAAGTAAATTGAGTTAAATAGAAGGGAAACGAGTTTGTAGGTGTGCTTTCTTTCTTGATTCACGAGCGTGAAGGTGGCTAAGTAGAAAATTTAAGAACCGCGCGTTTCGGCCTCTGTGCTTGCTTCGGCAGTTAGTTGAATCTTTCAACTTTTTATTCAGAAAGTTTGCTGAAATCTCAGCTGTATCTTAGAACGCGGTTAAGTTAGTTACGTTTAGAGAGCCTCGTAGGTAGTAACTTGTTATTATTCATTTTTAGTTGTACTTTCTTATTTTTATTTAATCGCCGGGTCGGCGTAGTTTGTGAGCGTCAAGTGAACGCATCTGTAACTTCTAAAGTGGAATAAAAAGGGAGTTAAACCCTTCTTAAGAGTTTGTATAATTCCAGTTCATAGCAGTCACTAGTATTGTTGCGGGGCAGGTTGGGGCCCCGCAACACCACACACTTATAAGTTGTTACTTCCTTATAACCCCTATAACACCCCTTATAATGTGCCGAACAGCTATATTTCTGCTTTGCTTACTTGCTTAAGCTACATTTGACGTATCAGTATGTCATGCATTTGTTTGAGCAAAGACGTACATGACGTTCTGATACGTCATTGAAACTGAGACAAGATTTAGCTAGTTCATTCTGGTATATTTCAAAGTAATGTGTATCTGCTGCAACAAAACAAATAATTTCAGTAGTTTGGTGAACCTTGTTGGGGATACACAACACCATAATGACAGAAATAAAGAATATATTTTACCAAAGTGATAACGACAGTTTTAATGAAAGTAGTGATCTTGGAACTGATGAAGAATTTTATAATGATCCTTATTTAAGCGATAAAGGGGAATTTCAAAATGAAAATGATGAAAAATATATCAAACTAGAAAGTAATAATGATAGTGAAATTATTCCAAGACGTTAAGACGCTCATCAAGCAGTGATAGTGAATCTTCTCGTGAAAAATTAGATGAATGTATTTGAAAAAGAAAGCCGCCCAGTCGCGATGCCCGAAGGGTCTGAATTCGAATCCCGGAGAAGGCATGGATGTAACTGTCCGTCCCTTCATAGGAAATGTTATGGGGGCCCACCTATTAGGGGTGCCTCCATAATAAAGAGACCACCACATCCGGCCTTGTATCGATTAATGGACTGGGTTACATATGTAATTGTTCACAATCTGCCATTGGAAAAAAAATGAGAAAGAAAAGAAAATGTACCTGATGTAAAACGGTTTTCTGAAGTATCTTGGAATCAATACTTTCATTAAAACTGTCGTTATCACTTTGATAAAATGTATTCTCTAGTTCTGTCATTATGGGGTTGTGTATCCCAAACAAGTTAGTTGTCACCAAACTACTGAAATTATTTGTTCTGTTGGAATAGATACACATTACTTATAGACCAGAAATATACCAGAATGAACTAGCTAAATCTTGTCTCAGGTTCAATGACGTATCAGAACGTCATGTGCGTCTTTGCCCAAACAAATGCATGACGTACTGATACATCAAACGTAGCCAAAGTGTTAAATATGCTCCAAGTGCAAAAAAAAATTTCACATAAATGTGTACCCAAAGGGTTAATTAAATATCGCAAAACATTTCCTTTCAGGAGGATTTCTAAAGGAGCTCGTTCATATTTATGTTACACGCAGAAAGCGAAGCTGAAACACACAAACACGTAGCCAGAATGTCTCTCGGACGAAGTCGAATCCGGTTCAAGCCACCAGGGTTCACGGATTTTACCCACACAGCCGTTAATGAATCGCTATATTTCTCTAATACGCAGTTCAAGGAAATGTGAAGTAAACAGTATTCTGCAGGTTAACAAAAACAAAAAAAAATCATTCAGTAAGCCAGAAGGCTCGGGTTTATGGGACTTGTATTACGAAGGACAGTATTAGAATTATGGCATTTATCGATTACCAGGTAGTTCATCCTCCAAATTTTATTTAAAATAAACAAAACAACAAAAAAAGGAACCTTTTCTCAGTTACTATTGTCTTAAAAAACCTCACTGAAAGAGATTTTTGTGGAATAAGTCTTAACAAATCTTAAAATTTAGAAAGCAAATACAGCTTTCATTGGGGGGGGGCATGAAAATTACCTTTACTCTCACACGATTTTCTTTAATATTCCAAATCTGGTTCGGTTAATTAATTATAGCAAAGCATGGGAGGATTATCTGTCTAAGGAAAGGGATGCCTTCGTGGAGGAATTTAAAGGAAACTGGCTAGTACTCGCGTTACACAAGGGAAAACCCTTGAAAACTAATGCAGCCAGCCTTTCACCGGCATCTGAAAACCAGCTCGAATTCAGTGATCTTAGAGCTGCTGCTGGTGGGCCACACCCAAAACTGACCCATTGGCATTGAAAGTAGGGTAAATTGAAAATCAAGTTTAATAGATTTCCGAACGGAAGGAAAACTGATCCTGCTGAAAGAGGCACAGTTCTTTCGCATTTAAGTATTCTTCCCAACGCCTAAGCGTTATCTGCAATCTAGAATTTCTTTTAGTTTAATCACTCTAGTTTTAATCAAATTTCATACAAACAAATTCAAAAGAAACAAAATTCTTCTACATGTTTAATCCGATAGTTATAATATATCCATAGAGAATCTCCGTTCCCTTTCATCAAATATTATTTAGCGGAAGTTTAAAAACTTATTTTCAAATATGAGACAGTATAACTTGCTTTTGAAAATGTGCAACACAAAATATATCCCGAAGAAGGTCTTTATTTAATTGACTAGAGGAAAAACACAAAGGTATTTGGCTAAGGAAAGGAATGTCTTAGTGGAGGATTAACTAAGAGAATATCGTCCGTATTTACATCACACATCGAAAGCAGGTGCAGGTTGAAGCACTTCTGCATTCATGTAGACATATTAAATATTGAAAGGACTTTGAGTCGCCCCTTGCCGCCCAGACGCTTACAAACATCCATGCTTTCTCCGGGATTCGAACCCAGGCCTTCGGTACGGCAGTGAGCTCACTGATCACTATCCCATATAGTGTCATATGTTGGTTGGTTGGTTTGCT